TGTACTCCTTTTTTTGTTGATCAGGTTTTGTTCCACTGGGTTTTCCTGATAAGATTTTTAATGAGGCAGTATGAAGCACGTCCAACTTTACAGTTTCATTGTAGACTTGTATTTCTTTACTTGGGTTTATTCCTGTTAGGTTTTTCTTGAGTAAGGATAAATATAATTATTTGTAAATGGTGGATATTCAAGGGGGAGTGTTGTAAAAATAGGTGGCCATCCACCGCCTTATATCTTTGAGGCAGTAAAAGGGGGAGCGGGTGATTGCTATAAATACCACACACCCTTTCATTTTTACCACACAATCAATGGAGAAGGCAAAGAAGAAATATTACAACCCTTTAATTATACTTTCTTAAATTTCAGTTCTTCTTAATCTATTATACTTACACCTCTTAAATTACAACAATATCTATATTATTAGTTCTTATCTCTTGAATTTTGTGAGTTATAGAAATATTATAAAAGACTCTAGTTCAAAATAGCTTCACCCCTGTTCTTTTTGAGCTCTCGCAGACAAGACCATATTATAAGTTAAAGATGGCAACAGCTGAATTGAGTACGACGTTACTAAGTAAAGGCTATGAACATTTATCTACCATTTTAAGGATGAGTTTTAACAAAGACACATAGGGTTTTATAGACACCAAAATCTACTTTATTTTTAATAAATAAATAACTAACCAATGAAATAATTAACTAACAAAAAAAAAAAAAAGTCGATATATATTTCATAATTTTTCTTGGCAGGGAAGAAGCCACATTAATAGTTGAGTGTAGAATGAGTTATTTGTAGATATATAATGAAGACATTTAAAACCTTGTTGCTCTGATGGTAGTTAAAACTTTCAATTGCATGTGTATTTATGTTATACTCAACTCTTCTTATTAAAGACGCACAACCCTCTTTTACCGTGTCCCGTAAATGAAATAACCATTGGAACCTGGACTCTATCAAACCGCAATAATTATTAATATTTAATACTCTAATAATTATAACCTGCAGCTAATCAATTTCTCAACTTACTGAAGATCTGTATGGTCCTAAGTCCTAACTAGTGGTCACTACTTAGCTAAGTTTTACATAATTTTAAGAAAGTATTATATTTTATTATTTTTTTATGTGAATATTTGGAAAAGAAAAATAATAAGTTGTGAAAGAGTTCAAAATCTTTAACTTAAAATACTTTATATATATATATATATATATATAAAGTTGAACTTTAATTTAGAGTATTATAATCTTTTTAATAAATAGAGTTTAATATATTGATAGAAGGAATTAAATAGTTAGATGGGTGTGGAAAAAATATGAGATGAGTAGCAACAAGCACAATAACACACACGTCCGGCATCAACAGTCAACATAAATATGGATAAATGATAGTGTTTAAAAGACATATTTAATTGATTAGGTTATCTAATTCAACCCATTAAAATCACTGCTTCAAATATTATTATACCCATATGTACATGCTTTGCTACACCCAATTGACAAGACTATTTAATTTTGTTTACCCCACTTATCAATACGTGTTACAGCTTTTATGACTAGTACTATCCATAATCGATATAAATAAATACATATCTATTTAATTTTTTCAAAATATATTTTATACTCTTATAAATACAATATTAATGTTATTTGCATAGTGCTGAAAATATTTTTGGTTTGTTTGTTGTGGGCCTTGTGGCGGGGCATTTGGGTCCCCTGCGGTGTTGGTAATTAAGATGGCAAATAAATTGTATTTGTACTTTGTACGCAATCGAAGAGTGACTACTACAGAATTTTTCCGGTTAACATTAGCATCGCTTTTTGTAATTATAAGGACGTCGAGAAAGCTACCGCTTGTTTAGTTATTCTCATCCTATCATATTTCATCGTTCTATCCTAAAAAAAAAAAAAAAAAATCTATTTATTTTAATATTTTTTAAAATCCAATTATATTCTATTAATTCAAAATATTTAATAATTATCTTTTTCAATAAAAATTTTAAAATTAACAAAAATACCCCTACCTACCTAACTTTTTGTTGGTAGCTAATCACCACCACCAGACGGTAGTCAAAAGTCCCAAGAATAGTGCACAATCTGTTAGATCTGACTGGTCATGAACTAATCTTGCCTTTTCTGCCAGATCTGGCCGTTGACGACGGCCAAATCTTGGCTGTTTTAGAAGACCAATTTCTGGTCGTAGATCTAATATTTTCTGGCTAGTTCCAGGGTGAAAAAGACAAGATCGTCACATGAACGACTAGATCCAGCCGGTCATTTGCCATTTCAATGACTGATGACCACCATCCGGTAGTGGTGGTTGGCTGCTAGAAATTGATTGGGTGGGTGGGGATGTTTTTGTTAATTTACAAACTTTTGTTATGGGGAGGTGTTTAACTAAATAAACAAATGTAATGAGTTAAAAAGTAATCTAAATATTTTCAGAAAATGTTTTCCAATAATGTACTAAACACATTCTTAGAATCTTATCTTAAAATATATTTAGAATAGGATTTTACAAATCCTATTAAAAAAAAGTGTACCAAAGGCAGCTGGACCATCAGTTATCATCCACTCCTAAAATTTTGAATAATTAATTTGATTTATTTAAAAAATCTTCCTCCAAATTTCAAGAAATTTGTCATAAACAACTTTTACTAACAAAGTTAATCTGTTGGCAGTTTGAAAAAAAAAAAAAGGGTTAAAAAAATCAACATTTTTTTGCTTTATTATATTAATATAATCATCAAGTAAAATCAACAATTTGAAATGATTAATAATTCAACTATTATTCCAAAAAGTATAATTTTTTGGAAATATATATTCAGTTATATAATAATAATAAATAAATAAGAAAAATGTGTATAATAAAAAAAACAAGAAACAAATAGATTGAACAAATATTATAGTTGTATAGTAAACGATTCTCTATTAAATAAAACCTTGGATCAGCTGGATTATATATATATATATATATATATATTAAAATTATCTTTTGTTGATCTAATATTTTATGAGTAATGTAATGCATGCAAACCAATTGTAATTTGTATATATTATTTCTTTTAAAGTGATATCGTGATCCAATATGTTTGACATGTGATTTTTTATTTTGTTTAGTTGATCCTAATTTAAAGTCATTCAATTATCTTAAAACACGTATAAGTTAAAACAGGGGCAGATCCAACCCACTTTTGGGTGAGCCATCAATTTTATTTTAAGAAATACTAATACATATAATTTCTGGATTTTGGCCCACCCTAACAAAAATTTATGGATCCGCTACTGAGTTAAAAGTTATTGTTATAATAAAACTATAATTGATTTCTCACTTTTCAACAATCATTTTCGATTACTTGATTCACGTTTTAGATTGTTTCATTAATTTCAATTTGGTTCGTTATTAAAATTTCTGAATAGTATGATTTACTATCTTCACAAATTGCCCCATTTAATTTATCATGAATACTCATGGCTCTCATCCTTATAACCGTTTTGGTGGTTCAGGCAGTGACTTCTAAGCTAATCAAATCATCTCAGTGTCGATAAACTTTTAGGTTGATATTATTATTACTATTGCTTTCTTGCAGCACAGCAATATGCAGTAATGTTAATTAATGTCAGCAAATTTACTACCTGCTCATTGATCTCGCTTTTTATTTGTCCATGGTCTTGTAGCTTTCACATACTAAGACATATATTCATGTCTACATGTCAGAAATAGAAGATCCTATATATATATATATATATTCTTTTATATTCATCCCAAACTAGCAGCATTTATTGTTATATTTTCTTAAATATATATACAACTATTATGAAGAGCTTTGTATATCTAATATTAGTGTAATTTTTTTAATGATGAAATGGTCTCAATGGTGTGGGATTGTGTATGTTTGTTTACTGGAATTAATCAATAGGAGGTGACACCAGTGTAAATTCTAATAAATACAACCTCCGTGCTTCTTAAGTCTTAAAATTAGCCAGAAGGCCCCATAAAATTTTAATGAAGGCAAAGAGTAATAATTTTCAACTTTTGCCTTTACTCAATGGGTCCTACTCATGTATTTATACATCAGGAAGCAGTTCGCCATCATACGATGGAAAGGGAAATGACACGTACAATACATACCCATTCACATTTAAAACATTTGAAAATTATTAGGTGACTCAGTCGTAACACCATGTAAATGAGATCAACGAATTAGTTTTTACTTGATTTCTAAGTACTCATAAATATACAGACTTTTTATTTTATTTTTTATTTTGGTATTTGGAGGTGTCCGAACCAGTTTACGCGTATCTGAACTAGTTTATCATGATCCTGAAGTTAACGGATAGACAAACCTCCAGTGGCTACCGTAGAGATTTGAATTTAAAACCTCTTAAGTAATACATCCAAGAGTCCAAAACAAACCGCCAAAATATATAGATTTTACATATGTCCTTTTGAAAATAGGATAAAGATTTATATACTCTAAAATTATAATTAAATTAAGGATTTAAAGGTAGCATGGGAGATTCTCTACTATTGGTTTTGATTTAAAAAAAAAAAAAAGGGGAAAAATAAATGGAATGATAAAAATGATCATAAATTAAGGTCACATAATTAAGAAAACAAATAGTAAAATTTGAAATTCATACAGCATTTTTCTTATCACCCTACTGTAAACCCTAAATTCTGGACCAATTAAACTCCCAACCTTACCTTTGTACATAGGATAACTGTAACGGGTATCTGATTAATTAAGAATCTACGATCTCATCATCTTGCAAGAATCAGCAAGCTAAAATATGCATATTTGTCGAATTTGTTTAATAATAAATGTTTTTCAACCACGGTAGGGTGAAGGGTATATTCGTCATAAAATTTTGGAACGACCTGATCATATTAGTCGACAAAGGCTCTATATATTGCTACCGACTTTCTATTATTAGGTCATATCTATCTCCACATCTTTCATATTTTACGGTCTCTCTTTTTCTCTCTCTCAATTTTTCTAGATAGCTAAGTGCATAATTGTTGATTTGGTCCAAAATGGGTAGGTCTCCGTGCTGCGACAAGACGGGTCTGAAGAAAGGGCCATGGACTCCTGAAGAAGACCAAAAACTCTTGGCATACATTGAACAACATGGCCATGGAAGCTGGCGTGCCCTGCCTGCAAAAGCTGGTGATTTTCAACCACACTAACGGATACATAACTCAGTTTTATAGCACCGTTTATTCATTTGGTTTTTTCTTTTCGCTTGTTACAGGACTTCAAAGATGCGGGAAGAGCTGTAGATTGAGGTGGATTAATTACCTAAGACCTGATATCAAGAGAGGAAAGTTTAGTTTGCAAGAAGAACAAACCATCATACAACTCCATGCCCTTCTTGGAAACAGGTAAACTTTCTATATTTTGTCCTTTTAGAATATGAGAACTTTTGAAACTTTTGAAATATAACTTTACGTGCCTCAAATATAATTACTGTAGTACGATGACGTATATCAATGCAGCAGAAGAAGCATCACAGCTTTAGCATCTTGATATCTTAGAATAAATAGAGAGATAGGTCTCTCATTACTATTGTTTCTGTTTTCTGGTGATGATAGATATATAGATAGGTATCTATATTTATCATTATTAAAAGTAATTATGTTTGTTCAGGTGGTCGGCCATTGCTACTCATTTGCCAAAAAGAACTGATAATGAAATCAAGAACTACTGGAACACACATCTTAAGAAGAGGCTAACCAAGATGGGAATCGACCCTGTGACCCATAAGCCCAAAACCAATGCACTCGGTTCCGCGATTGGCCACACCAAGGACGCCGCGAACCTTAGCCACATGGCGCAATGGGAGAGTGCAAGGCTGGAAGCCGAAGCTCGACTTGTGAGAGAGTCAAAACTAGTGTCAAACCCTTCCCAAGATCAAGTAGGGTCTGGTTCGGCTCCGCTTACAAACAAAAGCAGGGCTCCACAAGCTAGACCACGGTGCCTTGACGTCCTAAAAGCATGGCAAGGAGTGGTCTCTGGCATGTTTGGCATAGCCAGAGACAGCCTTGAGTCGCCAACCTCAACATTGAGCTTCCAAGAAAACATGCCAACAATTCCAACTGTTGGGTTGATTAGCAATGACTTTGCTGGTTCATGCTTTGAGAAACCGAACCAAATGCAAGGACTGAAAGAAAATTTGGATAACTCAATGGCATTGCATGAAATGATGACCTACACCACAGATGAACCATGGACAGCTGACAACATCATGGAAGGGTTATCAGACATGATGGGTTGTGAATCTGACGTACAGATTTTGTCTGTGGCCGGAGAGAAATCCAATGCAAACTACAGTACTGGAAGTTTTGAGGACAACAAAAATTACTGGAATGGCATACTCCATTTGGTTAATGCTTCTGCAACTTGGTCGCCAGTGTTTTGAAAGAGTAGGAAGTACTTACTTAAAAAGAGAACTGATTATTTTGCAATATCGCATCTAGTGTCATGATTAAGCTTCTGGTTTAAAACTGTTAGTGTTAATTCGAAAGCCATAAACTGACAGATGAAAAACTACCTGAACTACTTTTGTTTCTTCCGTTATACTTCTATAATAATCTCGTATGTGTCATGCTTGGATTTTGATTTCAGTATATATTATTAACTACTAAATTGTTTTCAAATTATAATATACGGATCTCGTCGTGTTACCCATTAACCCTTAAATCACAATATAGTATTGTATTGCCCTAAAAGGAAAAACATGATTCTAAATTAAACTGACATGACTTATGTTTCATTTTTATCGTGCATATCTGCAGGTAATGCTCTCCAACAAATCAATTAATCATCCTGACTAGATTTTTTTGACATAACTTTCACTTTAATTACAATGGATGTTGCATTTTGGAGTAAGCCGCAGCGTGCTTGAGCTTTAGTTCTACCCTAAAAATGAATGTTCAGCTAATATCAAATTCCTGTACAATTTCTCCAAGTAAAATGTGCCGAGAAAGTAGCAAGTTCGTTTATTGTCTCAATTTATGACGGCAGAGAAATTAAATATAGTAAGTCACTTGTCTCAATGTCTGGTTCTTGCCAATCAATGCTCCAGCCGGATAAAAAGACCCTAGGCTCTGGCGTAACAACCATTATTTAAAGCAACAGAATTATAGGATTCGCTTACATCTAAATGGCATTGTCGCTAACCAAGCTAGTTATCTATCTATCACACATATGCACGGATCAAGAATGACCTCAACAGTTTGACATCTGACTTCAAGTCTGCTACAAGATTAACCAAGAAGAAGTCATGACGCATGTAAGAATCTTGGTACAATCAAGAAAGGAGAGAAATAAGAAAAACAATTACCTAGCGTTTGGTTCAATTAATTTTTTATTATTGAAAAGATAAGATTACGATATAGGTAGATTATCTTAAAGATTAATAAAAAATGTTATATTAATATATTTGATAAGATTGATAAGTTTAAATAATTAATATGTTTAGTTAGGAGGAATAAAATATTATCAGAGAGATTTTTACTAAATTACTCTTCCTTTTTAATATTATTATTATTTAGAGTATTATTTTTAACACCCTATATTTAATAATTTAGCTAAAACATCACAACAACAAAAGTTTAAAATGAAGACAACTATCAATCACCGCCACTGGTAGTTGCTAGAATGGCACATGTCCTGTTGAATCTAGTTGGCTGTGCACTGATTTATCCGTTTAGATCAGATCGAAGGCTGAATGGATCTGGTCGGAAACGGCCAAATCCATTCTAGTCGTTAACGGCTAAACCTGTGACTGTTAATGGTCGTGGATCTCGCAAGAAACTGCTAGATCCACTATCATTTAGCTGTTTCCGGCCTTCAATCTGGCTGAAAACAGCCAGATTTCTTTCCTGCGCCGTTCCGAAAACTGCCCGCAACGGTCGATAGTGGTGATCAACAGACGGTAGTCGTCTTGGGTGGCTAAGGTTATTTTGGATATTATTCATGTAAATAGTGAGGGTGTTTCTATCCAAAAAATAATTTATGAGGTTACAGAGGTCTTTTGGCATATTTGGGCTAACTGTTATTTAGTAGATATATGAAAGCATTTTTGTCCAAAATATTTATTAATTAAGGGTAAAATTGGTATAAATAGTAGATTACCCCAATAACTAAAAAAAAAATACACTTTCAGATGGTAATCGAATTATCCCTTATATTACCTACAGTAATCACTATTAGCATTGATCGATTACTGGAATCTTTCATTATTTGACAATCAAACATAATAATTATCAAATTAAAAGATAGATTATGATGTTATCTTCTATGACGCGACCTAAATACTACGTAACAAAGTGTAATTAAGACAAAGATGCTGACGCGTTGAGAGTGGATACGGAGATGTGATTGCACGTTACTTTTAATGTTATTAGGTTTGTTTTATTGTAGTAATAAATAGCAAAATATACCACGTTATCCAATCTAGTTGGCTCCTTTTAATGTTTGAGTGTGTCACACAATGTGAAACTAATATCTTCATAAATATACTACTCAACTCCACCAAGTTAAAAGAATAAATTCACAAAGTCTTTTTTAACTATTTCTATCCATTACCATTAACATAAAAGCTTCAGCATAATAAATTCACAATATATGATACCGCTACTACACGTTTCCTCATTATACCTTGTCATTCTTGTCTCTACAAAACTATCTTACCGTTTCCTTCCTTCAAAACAACTCTCCATCTCACGCCTTTAGCGCGCCAGTTTTAAGTGGTTAAAAAGAGGGTATGGTCCTATGGAGATCTAAACTTCAAATTAAAACAATTTTTTGATGCTGGTTTAATTCATTTCCTCAACTTATTTATATAATCAAAATATTAAAACTTATATTAATCCATACACACGTTACGAATGAAAAGTATAGGCTTTCAATCAATAATTCTCATAACTTTCTAAAATTAGTTAGAAACAACCTCTCTGAAAGGTTCAGTTAAATTTATACATGGCTCAAAATTTATTTTATCTATACTTTGTTACATTAAAAAAATAGTTTATGTGAAGTAATAGCTAATGCACAAAGAAACAAATACTTACGAATAATTGTATATTACACTTTCAAGTGCAATTAAGTAAAACACGACATTTTAAAAATATTTAACATATATACTAAATAATGTCAATACAAAAAAAAAAAAAAAATGATATTGAATATATTAAACTACAATAAATGTTTTCAAAATAATCCTATATAATTTTTCATTAAATAAAAATGTTGAATGATATTAAATCTTAAAAATCTAAACTATTATATAAAATTCTCATATTTATAATGTAGACAATCAAATCTATAGTTGAGTCGAACGAGAATGTTCTTGTAAGGACAAGACCATTGACTATCTTGTAGAGCTTTAGGGATAAAAAAGACTGAACGCTAAGGCTCAAGGGACATTGATGCGGTGTTGATCGTAGGCACTTTGACACTCAAATTAGCATAGTTGAAGAGAATTTAATAAGGCTGAGAGCGAGAAAGGGTTTATCATAATATGTTTTTTTTTTTTTTTTATACATGCATATGCTTTATGAATTGGTGATTTGGAAAATGAAATATCATTATGAAACTGATTTTAATTGGAAGTATTATTATGCTCTTGTTTACACATGCAAGTGTTTTGTGAAATTGTTTTATGAATTTTATGCATACATTGCCTGTTATTAAGAGTGCATTATGTTTGTGTAACTGACATTGCAAATGAATGAATTCTATTGAGGATAAAGATTATTTGAAAGTGATTTTAAAAGTGTGGTCATGTTAATGTGTATAGATTTTTCCGTTCAATGTGCTTTTAATTCCAAGAGAAAAATTGAATATATCATTTTCTCTAAAATTTATTTAAATGTTATTTCGAGTTTTGTAAAGAGTTTTTCCTCACATTTACCTTTCAAAGAACTCTATTTACTAATTTTTATTATAAAGTTTTATAAACTGAATTTTTGTATTATTAATGTATTAATGAACCATAAGATTTTTTTACTGTCATCCCAAATGCTTCTTGAAAATATTTCTATGTTTAATGTATTCAATCAGTCTTGTTGGTTAATATTCCCAATGAGTAATTGTTTTAAAGTAATCTTTCTAAATTTATTAAATTCTCTTCCAAAGTTATAAGAGGTTTTCAAATGAAGTTCCCTTCACTAAATTTTCCATTATATACTCACTTCATTATGCTTTTAAAACATCATTTTAATAATAAATTGATTTCAATGAACCCATTAATTGAAAAGTCGTCTTTTCTAAGTTACTCCTCCATGCGTTGGTTTTAAGTTAAAATGCTCACTCGTTTTGATAAAACTTCTTGTGGAATCTTTCGAAAATGTTTCTAAATTAAGTTTTACTCCTAAATGTTTTCGAGTAAATGTATCGTGTTTTAAACACTCCCAAAATGTATTTGAACTAATAATTTTAAAAGCATTCCAAATTATTTAAGATCTCTAAATGTTTTTCAAAGAAGCTTTTGAAATTTTGTCATCACATATTTGAAAATGAACGTTTTTAAGAAAAAGATTGAAAGAAAGAAAAGAAATATTTCGGCTCATGGTCAATAGTTTATGATATGACTAGTGTGTAGGTGACATTCTAATATGATATGATTGATCTAATTCTATTATGGTGTTCCTTTATGGTATGATCGTGTTACCCGAGTTAAGGGTAATAATATGAATGATTGACCATGTTACCCAGGTCAAAGGTAATAATATGATAAGAATAACCAAATTACTCGGGTTAAAGGTAACATATGATATGGTTGGCCAAATTACCAGGGGTACAGGTAACAACTATGTGACATGAGCTCTTCCAAGATTTTTTTGAAAAGAATTTATGAAATATATATTTATGGAAAAATGTCATGAAAGTTATGAAAATAATATATGAATCCTTTCATATGATTTTGATAAAGTTTCTTGAACTTTTTAACTATCTTTGAAAGATTTTCCCAAATGTTAGTTTAAAGAAAATGATTGACTGATGTTATGCCTCAAAAGTCAAGCCTATGTCAGCACAATTAATGTCTCTCTATACCAGCTGCCAAGCCCATATCTCCAAAGATATTCTCACCAACTTTATCTCATTTCAAAGAGATGAATGGACGAGAGCCTTCCATGTGTCAAGGCAGTTTGCAAAAGCTCTCCTGGCATTGAGTGCAAATGTGAATAAATGGGCATTTCTCTTCCCGAAGAAGAGGGGCTAGAGGCTGGGCTGAGATTTAGCTTCAATTCTTTCTCTCTGTAAAAACACTGTATATCTTCATCTTTGTATGCCTTACGGCCAAATTCATAGAAGTAGGGAGAGATGAAATAAAATAACAGTGGATATAGGAGTCACTTGTTGCATCCGAACCACTATAAAAACTCCTCTTACCAATCTTTTATTTATTTTTTCTGCAAAATATATAATCTCAGCTCCATATTCAAATCTCATGGATCCATCACGTGTGTCTCCTGAGTCAGCTCAGCGTTTCCCACGTGCGAGTCGTTGGCGTCCAAAATCAAGC